GAGGCAAATTGTTTCGGTTTGAAATAAATTCAATCTCGTTCCCAGAGCTGAACGATGGCTCTGAGTACGAAATTGAAATTTTTTTCTGTTTTTTCTTACTCTCAACCCATCGCTAGTATGTCAGAATCAGAAACATAAGAGACTGGTGACGAATCGGAGACTGCGGAAAATGTTGAGTGAAGATATATGGTTACCACTACAAGAAGTGGGAGAGCTATCACAAACTGGAGAGTTTCGAAATATAGATAAACGCAAGACAAAACTTAAAACTGAATTATTGATAGAAAAAGGGGGGGGGGGTATAAAAATTTTTACTTACATTGAAGAGGGTTACGAAAAATTTTCCATAGGTTATTGGAAGGGTATGGAAATATGTACTTGAAATTTCATTTATCCTCCACCCCCTTTTACTAGTTACTTTATGACCGGTCCCTAATAGCTATTTTTCAATAAATATACTGATATTTCAAACTTATTGGATGATCAATATTTTAAGTTTCACGCCAGTTGTACCAAAGGTTTATGTAAGCGCTATAGCGAAGTTTCAGATGGCATGCAACATGTACGCACTGCGTACCTATATTTGTAAAATTTGTTTGCGAAATTTGCTTTAGAAAACGCCAGAAATTCAGTCCTAGAGCTTCGAAAATGTAAAAATTTTCTGGGGGAGGACCCCCAGACCCCCCTTTTCTCCCAAAACTCAGTATAAGAGTGCCAATCAATCACAAAAAGCTTTATTATAATTATTACACGTATAATCCTCTGACATACCCCCCCCCCCCCAAATGTCAGATGCTTTGTTACGTCCCTGATGGTTGTATTCGAAACCGATTTCAGTTTTAAGATATCCTTAGTCTGCTCTTCTAAATGGATACATGAAATCACCTATAGCTTATTTTAAGTTTTTTTTGTGAAGTAATTTACGCGCCAAAAAGCAAAAAAGCATATACAATTTCCAAGAATGATATGTTCTATGTTTATGGGATATTTCGTACAAACGGGATGGAAATTAAAGAAATTGAAGCATACTGGCACTTTTGCATGCATTTTTGACAGGCATGCAAAGACATTTGCAACAGATGCCGGGAGATACGTTGGGTGGGGGCAACATACTGTAAGGTTCCAGCACATTACCCTGATCCAGGAAATCCTGGCCACTACATGAACGTGTTCAAGACTACGAATACGCTGAATGATGGACAACAACAACCTGTTGATAATTCCACCCCTAGAGCCAATTTAAAATGTTTTAAAGACAGTGCCATTTCATCTGGCGCTAGTGAGATGAAAGAAGCAGCAGATCGGTAGTTTTGTTGAGGAGAAGCACTTGAGTATATCAGACATCCGGAGAGAATTCCGGATTGTACTCCTTCGATTCCGAATTCTAGAGGGGGGGGGGGCATTGAAAATTTTAAAAACTTGGAAGGGGGCATCAAAATTTACCGATAACCTCAACAGGGGCCCTGTAAAAATATGAGCTTTTTTCAAGACATCTTCATTCCCCTCCCTCGGTGTAATAAATGTACTTTCCCTAAAGCCACCATTCAAGGAATTAAGCCGGGGAAAATTATCCATGCATGCGAAAACAACAAAATTTACTGTCGTGGCTTGTAATATATAAAAACAATCGCCAAACAACTTCCTTATAGATGCATCAATCCTATCAGTTCATACATTAATCATTATGCGAATCAACGTAAATCTTAATTATCATTTGTCATATCAACTTTGCACTATCCTTGGGATCTCTCAGTCTAACATATGCACCCCATCAATATTTCACGCACTACGGTTCAGCATATGTGCAATTGAAAAGGCATTCAAATTTTAACAATATGCTTAATTTCTAAAGGTCTCCTTTTTTTTATACACCCTGTATATACAGGAAAAAAACACTGAACCCTTTGAAATTCAAATTAGCTATAACATATTGTAGTAATTTGACAGTTCTAATTGCCTTGAATTAGTTGGTTGGGTAAGAACACAAGGAATACTGTATTTCTTTTAATTTTTATTTCTTTGAGTTTTGTCCCATGAGTACAAGACCTAGTGTTCGTATCCAACCATTAATTTAAAGCAATCACACCAAAAGCAGTACAAGTTGTCCAAAATGTACATTGTGCAAAGTAAGAACATCGGTATTTTCGTTATAATTATAGCATTAACACACACATACACCAATTCCCACCCAAATAAACTGACTTCAATGTGCCGTAGTTCAAGTCATAATTCAGTACTGTTCATTTCACTCAAAATTCAAATTTAATGTAGTATCCCCATGAGTTAACGTCACCTGCACTTTAGACGATGGGCCTTTCCTTTGCTCCTTATTTACACACTTCTTTTTTGCGACAACTTCGTTGGATTCTACTTCTTCTCCACTTGGAATTGAACTCTTTGGCGTAAGACATATGTTACTTTTTGCAGCAATTCATCGCTTGGCCGTTTATAACTTTGTACTGCCGTACTTATGTGTCTCATTCTCGCCATAATTGTTTCCTAATAAAACTAACCACTCTCGCACAGTTGGTTTGTACGCAATTGTAAGCATGAATACACAAATAATTAAAGTGCACTCTTCCGTCAACCATTATTCTAACTTTAATTGCATGCCTTCAATTCCTTCGTGGATGCAGTCATTCTCTAAGACTGTTAGAGCATGGAGCGCTTTACATTTGACGGAGATTCCGGAAATCTTGCTTGAAAATCAAATGGAACACGTTAATTTCTGTTTCGAAAATTCCGGCCAATCTGTCGAGGCTGTCAACAAATTGGAAATTCCGGAAATTTCGAAATTTTTACATCCATTAAAACATTTTCCAACCAACGTTGCTGCTTTCCAAACGTTTTTGAGTAAAAACCGCAACCAAAATGGTGCGTTGTCAACCATTTCAGTGCCTTGAGTCTGGATTTATTTCGCCGAATTCTGAAAGAAGAGATTTGAGCGGCAGTGTCAAACTCTTCGAAATTAACGAAACGTCATTCCAGAAATTAACGTGTTCCATTTGATTTTCAAGCAAGATTTCCGGAATTTCCGTCAAATGGAAAGCGTCAACCAAGCCTCCCATTATTTACAAGGCCTGTCACGCTTTAGCGTTCCATTTTGCCACTGGACATTCCGGAACCGCAAACTGTTTTTTTTTAGTTTAAATGGAAAGCGCCCATGGTCACTTGTGCTCTATGGAATATAGAGTCCCTCGAATTAGTTAAAAGGCCACTCGGGGCCTATGGCCCCGCGTGACATTTTAACTAATTCTCGGGACTCTATATCCCATAGAGCACACGTGACCATGCTCTAACCATTACTTCGACAATATGAACAGGACTTTACAACGACAACGCTATAGTCAAGGTATGTTGTGCTTACGATTTGCTGTTATACGTGTATATATGCATTATATGCATCGTGTTATTGACGTTATACTGTCGTTTGCTGTATTGTCATTTCGCTGTATGTTATTTTCGTTTAGCTTTAGTTTTATTAAATTAGCATCACGATTTGTCAGCTGCATTATTTGGCCGCTTAATATAAACAGATTGTGTCAAAAACCTCACAGAATTCATTCTTTCGCCCACAGGCCACAACAACCCAGTGTTATTTAATAGTCGTTCTTTGCTAGAGATTTAAAACAATAATGCCCATGCATCGGATAGCTAAAATTTAATTAAACATCACTGACTGACTCAATCACTGTCGACAAATTCGTTAGACCAAGACGCATGTCAATGGTTCAAGCCGGATAATTATTAATGAGAACACACTATAATTATTAACTAATAACTAAACTATCAAATGAAACATATTTATACAAAATACGATACCAGTCTCTGCAATGTCAAGGTGAACGAAAAACAGGGGTGGGTGCCACACTCCTAGTATGCTCATGTCCTAGCCTAAGTTAGGAAGCATTTATGTATTGTTCATCCAACATTGGATCGCAATATCAAAGTCGAATGCTACACTTTATTTGCCAGACAGTGGCCGACACAAGTTTTCCTTGTTCGTTCAATTTGTGGTTAAGTTACGCAGAGGTCTTCCATTCTGTGCTATGTTAATGATTCAAGCACGTTAATTAATACGTCAGGTGAAAGAGCAGCCCGAAAATAAGTAAAACACGCACACCAAATCATTCTGGGAGAATGGGTTCAGGGTGAAGTGAACCAATTATATACATTATACACTTAAACTCTGGTCAACCCAAAGATTCATTAAGCCTTATGTTTTCATCCCCCATGGGTATATATATATATATATATATATATATATATATATATATATATATATATATATATATATATATATATATATATATATATATATATATATATATTCGAAGGTCGCGGGTTCAAGACCCAGCCGCGGCAGACTTTAACTCTCTGCTTACGCTGGGTATGGAAATTATATAATACACACCTTACCCTTACCTCTAAACCTTAAGCCTTAAACTCTAAGCGCGCAAAGCATAATGGGAGTACTGATTTCAAGCTTTGTAGTTGAATATTGCAGCTGTTTGTGAGTGAAACATTTTCGAAGGCACATATTTACCATGTCCCTAAGAAATGGGCTCCATGTATGCTTTCTAAACTGCTTAAATAGTGCTTCCATTACGTTTTGCGCGCTTAGACTTTAAGGTTTAAGGTTTTAGAGTTTAAGGTTTGCAAAGGACAACCTTTATTGAATTATGTATATATATATATATATATATATATATATATATATATATATATATATATATATATATATATATATATATATATATATAGGAGAGACCGAATGCTTTAGGGCTCATAATCCCCAATAGAACCCTGCCAGAGGGGGTCATAATCCCCTTGGACATAACCAAGGGCTCATAATCCCCTTGGACAGTACCTACGATTCTACTGTTTATATTTACATAAATAACCTATAAGTCTATCCCTTATGAAAATATCCTATAGGAATTCCTATAATTCCTATAGGAAAAATTCCTATAGGAATTTTTCCCGAATTCTTATAGGAATTTTTCCTATAAGAATTTTTCCTATAGTTATTTTTCCTATAGGAATTTTTCCTGTAGGAATTTTTCCTATAGGAATGTTTCCTATGGAAGTTTTCCTATAGGAATTTTTCCTATAGGAATTTTTCCTATAGGAATTTTTCCTACAAGAATTCCTATAAGAATTTTTCCTACAGGACTACCTAGTCCCAAATTATTATAGGAATTCCTATAAGAAAATAATTTATCCTAATAATTTCCTATAAAAATTTCCCAGAAATTCTAGAATCTAGATGAAATAGTAAATGACACACAATGTTGTTTATCACTCTTAATTTTTTAATGCAAAAAATAGATATAAATATTAATAAATACTAATCAATATTGCAAATATAAATATTAATATGAGAAATTGGTTGTACTAAACATTACAAATCCATTATAGTTCATTTCACGTATTGCGCCAAATTAATCGTTCTACCTCCATGCACTGCCATATGATGCATCCTACTTTATTATTTTACTCTGTCTAACACCAGACTATTTTACTTTATCTAATGCCAGACTATTTTACTCTGTCTAACTCCAGACAATTTTACTTGTCAAGGGGAGAACGCTGGCTCTGAATGGGTTAACCAGCCTATCTTCCTATATGTGTCTGGCTAACCCATTGAATTGCATTGCGCCCTACTTTATTATTTTACTAATATACTCTGTCTAACGCCAGACGATTTTACTCGTCACGGCGCTGGCGGTTAATGGGCTAAACCATAGGTAATAACCATAATTGACGTTTAAAGTTAAGTTTAAAACTGCCCTCAAAACATAGTCCTCAAATAAGTTCTTGTTCTTGTTTGCTTTTCTGTACTTTGCAACACTTTCCCTTTCCCATGTTGTTTATTTTTGTGCACATGTGGTGACGAATCTCTGAGGCCTTACAACCATACTTTGTTGATGCAGAAGCTGTAATATAAAAAGACAAATAAATTTATTTAATGTATACCATTCCAATGTGTCTTGTTAACCCATTAAATGTGCCCAAATGCACCCAATTTATTATTTTACTCTAAGTGGAGAGTTTAGCACATTAATATGTTGAATAAACACAGTAAAATAACAAAGTACTAAAAGTAGAGCATATTCCTTCTAAATATGCCAACACAGCAGCATTTGCAGTTAATTATTAACCTTTCAATGACCAACAGTCCAACATTCATTTTGATGAGTAAAATACAATGCAAAATAGTCTGGTATTAGACAGAGCAAAATATCGAGATTTGGAATAGAAGACGTTAGTGTGACTTTGCGAATTGGGTTTTAATAAGTTTACACATAACACAGGGAGACAGCACGGTAACCTATCAAAGTTGTCCAGCTCTCTTTCACAAGTAAAATGATCTGGTGTTAGACACAGTAAAATAAACATAAAAACTCTGAATTGTAGCTCAGTTGGTAGAGCATTGGGCTAGTATTCCAAAGGTCGTAGGTTCTATAATGTATCTCTTTAGTACAAGTTGTACAGTATAAAAATGTACTTTTATTGCCTTCAATATCCAAACCCTATTTTCTTACACGTGGTCTCTTTCTGATACTAAATATATATTACATCACGTGACATGACGTGACTACATTACATCCCTCCTTTTCTTTAAAATAACTCATTAATGTTAATTGCTGTTTATTGAATATTACCTTATAAAGTCTACGTGTCCGCTTTACCAGTAATTATTTAACTAGTTTTAACATGTCTAACTTCTATAAAAGTCCGGTGGTCTTCGATTTTGTCTAAGACAATACCTTCGTTGTAGATCTGGTTGATCTTGTTGTTGCTCTTCAACTATTGTTGGTTGCTGGTTTTCTACTATGCCGTCGTCAAAATCGTCTTCTTCATCATTCTGGTCTTCCTCACTTGCGTTCTTGTAATTTGTGAGACATTTGAAACACGATACATTCCGGGTTACGGTGCGCTCTGTATTACGAGCTGTTACCATGTTGCCTTTGATTTCAATCACTTTAAATGGTTTTGGATTGAAAGGCATTGATAACTTATTGTCCTTCGGGACTTGCATTAGCACGTAATCACCAACTTTCAACTGACTTTCTTTCGCGTTGTTTCTTCTATCAGCATGGACTTTAATTTTCTCCTTTTCCTCCTTATTTCGAACAACGTGGTGTTCCACAGGGCCATCATTGTGTTGTAGGGATGAGAAACTAAAGTGGAGAAGTCCTTAATAAATCGTGAACAGTAATTGGCCAGACCTAAGAAACTGCGTAGTTGGCTGACATCTGCTGGTGTTTTGAAATTTTTAATTGCCTCGACTTTCTTTGGATTTGCTGACAGTCCGTCCTTTGACAGAATGTAGCCATAGAACCAAAGTGACGGTTGATTAAACTTGCATTTCTCCAGGTTTAATGTAAGTTTCTTGACAACTAATCGCTGTAACAGTGCTTCTAAATTCTTGTCATGCTGGGTTTGCGTTTTACCCCATACAATAATATCGTCTGCGATATTTCGTACCCCGTGTAGACCTTGGAGCGCTTGCTGTATTGCATTTTGGAATACTTCTGAAGCACATGACAGACCAAATGGCAGGCGTTTATACCGAAACAACCCCTTGTGTGTGCAAAAAGTGGTAATGTTACGCGAGTTCTCTTCTAGGACTATCTAATGGTATTCTGCTTTGAGGTCTAGCTTAGAAAACACGACAGCACCAGACATTTCTTCCATTAACTCATCAACTGTTGGGATTGGATGTCTCTCCCTTAACAATGCCTGATTTGGTCTACGGTAATCTCCGCATAATCTGATTTCATCTGAATTGTGTGGTTTGGAAGCAGCTACTATGGGTGATACCCATGAAGTAGGTCCTTCGGCAAGTTCAATAATATCGAGACTTTGTAATTCTTCTAGTTTATCTGAAACTTGCTTTCGTAAATGGAAAGGGACTGTCCGAGGGCGTTGTGCAATAGGGGAAACTGTACGATCAACATGCAATGACTGTTCATAATTTTGCAACCACCTTATTCCGTCAGAGAGTTCTGGAAATTTATCTAAAATTTTCTGTGTATTAATGTCAATGTTTTTCATGCTATTTCTGTCCCTTATTTCTCGATTTCCGGAGTCACTTTGACTGTTCGCGTCACTTCCGTTTGAGTGGCTTCCGGTGTTGATTTCATTCCTACCTCGACTTCCGGTTGTTTTCATGCTATGAAATTTAGAGACTTCGTTAACTTTTATTTTTAAAATGCCTAACTCTGCGGCTGTTTCATTACCGAGAAGTGATCCCGCTTTGCCGTTGACAACATAAAACGTCGATATTGTACGCTTTCCATTCGATTCAACCGCTAAACGACACTTTCCGAGCAATGGCAAGGGCTTAACGGCATTATATGCATATGTATTTGTTTGTGTTGGCTCTAATTGTACATCAGTGTTTATTTCTTTTCCTAATACAAGCGAATGCTTCACTATCAAGAATATTTGTCGTCGCTCCTGAATCGATAGTCACAGCGATAGGGGTCCCATTGATCTGTATTTGAATGTTAGTTATTTTTGATGATGAAACAGCAAAAGTATACCCATCGTCGGACGAATTAGGAGGGCTTTGTTTTTGGGTTTGTTGTTGTGCAACTCTAACAGACTCTCTCGAATCTTTCTTACTATCTTTCGGGGGATTTTTCGACTTCGACAAACTCTAGCGAAATGATTGAGCTTTCCACAAGCTCTACAGGTTTTGCCCTTCGCAGGACAGACATCTTTATGCCCTTGTTTAAATTCATTTCCACAATTTCGGCATTGATTTTGTTTGTGTGGTTTTGGTACATATTTAACATGTCTTACCTTGTCTTTAGCCTTTTTAATCGCTTTACACGATTAACATTGTTCCGAGAGTTATTGTGTCCCGAGATATTCGACGCTTGTTTTTCTGCTAATTCCTTCGCTCGCGCCATGGTAATAAGCTTAGCCAATGTCAGATCTGTCTCGCGTAAAAGCTTCGTACGAAATACATGAGACGAGCATGTCATAACAAACTGATCGCGTATTTCATTCTCGGCGCTTTCGAATTCACACGTTTCGGCTAGTGTACGTAGACGAGTTATGTAGCTGTCTACCGATTCTCCAGGCGTTGGATGTGTCTGTTTAAACACATAGCTTCATATATTACGTTCTTTTGTGGCTGAAAATATTCGTCGAGCTTCTCTAGAGCTGTTTTGAAATCTGTCCCGGTGTCTTGTAGTGTTTTGAATATTTTATGAACCGACGGGCCAGCTACATACAATAACATTGCGCGTTTCTGTGCATCATCCTTGATGTTGGCAGCTACTGTATACATATTAAAACGTTCTCGCCATTCTTTCCAGCGTTGGGCTAGCGAGGAATTATCACCCTCTGCATCAAACGGAGGTGGTGGTTTTAAATCCAAAATTGTGGCCATCGAGATTTCTTCTGTGTTCACTTCTTCTTCGTTTGGGTTCAGCATTAAAATAAACTCGTCGCCAAATATAATGTATCTCTTTAGTACAAGTTGTACAGTATAAAAATGTACTTTTATTGCCTTCAATATCAAAACCCTATTTCCTTACACGTGGTCTCTTTCTGATACCTAAATATATATTACATCACGTGACATGACGTGCTACATTACAGTCATGAAAGAGGGAAAACACCAGTGAACTCTATAAAAACTAGCCTGCATGGCAGGCGGTATTTCTACGGGCAGCGAAAATTAGGGAAGCAAAGGAAATACCGTCTGCCGCAAAACTAGGGGTTTTTGAATTACCCGTCCGCTGGTGAACGGGAAAAACGGATTGGTTAGTATTTTTATGTAGTTGTCAATCAACGACTAAATTCGGTTAAATGTTAATCATTAACCAAATGTTTTGACGTTTTGAAACTCTGCGTTTTGAAATTAGTTCACGTCAAGTCAGACCAGAAATGGAATAACATAATAAAAGAAGCAAATTAAAAGATACAAGCTGAAAAATAACACTCTAAATAGTGTTTTTGATAGAGATTCGAACAAGAATATTTAACAAAGAAGATACGTCCGAAGGGGCCGAAGTTATGATCGGCGAAAGGTATGGGCTAGTCTATATTTTCGTTCAGACAATTACATGCGTATTAATTTGATAATATACTATCTCGCTTGACTTTCAAAGGCCATAAATCGCAATAATGTTGACATTTTACTAAAACTATCGATAGAAATTAGGAGATATTTCTTCACTGAATCGAACAGTGGGATTTCCATATAGGCCTATCAGTCATGTTCTGAACCAAAGATACTTGATAGATATTATATACGAACCTCCAAAGTATAAACAAGGGGCCGGTTGATGCAGTAATTATCAAATAACAGTTAAACTCTTATATACCCGTTGAATATGTATAGTTGTAAACAAATAAAAACTATCGTTCTATAAGGTTCAATACTTTCAGTTTGGTTGTTGACTGATGATGAATCTATAGTATAGACTTGCATGCTTTGTATTTTGAGCTTTATATTAAACCACCGTTTTAAGGCAGCTAAACGGGCTTGGTTTATATTAACACATAAAATAAATTCCTTGGTTCTCATCACTAGACACAGTCTACACTTTGAAATGTCGAAGACAGTGGGAGATTTATTTTTTATATTTTATATTTATATAATTTATATATCAATAGTTCGTATCTCCACGAACAATGACAGAATGACTGAGTTTCTTTAAAATACAATGAAATTTCACTCAAAATTCTGTTTGTTTCAAATTGGAAGTTTAAAATGGCAATAAAAACTCTATATAAAATATGAAAAAATTAACTGTCTTGAATTATTTTGTCGGGCGGTACATTTATATTGTATAACGAAAAATAAAACGTTTTCACGAGGATTTTAAAATTCAGTCGGGCGGTGATGAGAATCAAGGAATTTATTTTATGTTGGGCAGTTGTGACTTGGGAGCAGCTTGGGAGTGGCTAATTTTGAATATTTACTTAATTAATGCATCTATAAATAGCGTTGATGCTTCAGGGGCGGTAGTTCATTTACACCCAGTTTTGCGGCAGGCGGTATTTCCTACGTACCGCCTGCCATGCAGGCTATATAAAAACTGGAAAGATAACTCCAGCTGTGTTTTTGAAACCAAAGATGGCGGAAATTGCTTTACCATGGCTTTAAGAATCTAGAGCAAGTGGTCTTTCAGAATAATTAAATTTTAGAAACACTTCATCATAAAAAGCAGTTAAAAGTCATTTGACGAGTGAAAAACAAGTTAAAAAAAAACCCTCGCGGAGAAACACCAGCAAACGTTTTTCTTTCTGGACTGTCTACTAGAGATTTGAATTAAACACGGTATAGTATATGGACTGAAGGTGCATCAATCTTTCCTTTTCATTTAGTTTTTAGCTTTTAAGTAGGGTATTTACTACTAAAAATGAACATTTACGTGCAAAAATTGAAAAACATCAATCGGAAAACCTTAGTAATTTTTCAGCACCAGCGAAGCCCACGCGAAATACACGCATGTTTTATACCTGCAAGAGACCACTCTATTGGCCGCCATCTTGGCTTCACTCAATCATTGGGCCGTTTACCTGGGGTTATCGTTCCAGTGTTTATAGAGATCACTGGGGAAAAGATAGCTTCACAACTTCGTTCCCAACCTCGTACTCAGACTCTTTGTAGTGGACAGAGCCTGGGTACGAGGTTGCTTCGTTCCAGGCCTTTTTTGCGCGGTCTTGGCACATATATTTGCCGAATATATTGTGTTGAAATATGGTTGAAAAGGCAGTAAAATAATCGAGATTGTCGCATTGTTGAAAGTTCTTGTAAACATGTCTTCTTAACCTTATTATAGAGATCGTGTTGTTTTAGTATTTATTATTAGCATGACAAAATTACTGGATGCTGATTGGTTGAGAGGAGTACAATTATTTCATTAATTCTACTGCAGTACAATTAATGATTTTCTCAAAACAAACAAAATGGCGGAAAGGTATTTTAAACACAAATGTGAAATGAAGTTGCCCTTGAGGAACTAGATGAAAATACGAAGAAAAGCACCAAATTTTGCTTTAACAAAAGAACTAAATGAAACTACGAACAAAAGTACCAAATTTTAGTTGAAAGTCTAGCAGAACTGGGCTTTGGCGAGAGAATATGATCTTGACGGAGAAGTATCCAATTTTGTCATGTGCTAATAATAAACAAGTAATCATGCGATGTTGCTCGTACAATTAGGGATTAATAGTACTCGTGAATCGTGATGTTTGGAAATTTGCCAAATTTGACTCGCCCCGGCGGCTCGTCCAGTTTTGACAAAATTTCCAAATATCACTCGTACTATTAATCCCTAATTGTACTCGCCATTGCATGATTGCCTATACTTATTGTGTTATGTATTTTATAGGATGTTTTATTGTCTTAGACATCGAAGAAAAATGAGATATTTCTGAACAAATTAAATATAAAATTACAAGTACTAAATTGTTAAAAAATATCAAACAACAGCATGTCTATGCATGGTAGAGCTGTATCATGCGAAATATAGGTCTTATCCGTTCTTTTTTTTTATTAAGATTGTTAAAACAGTGAAAAATCTCAAAGACAAAGGTCGAACTAATGTTAGTATGTTACTCTATGGATATGGTGACGGTGGTGGTGGACCAACGTACGTATTTACTGTACATGGTGATATTTTTTGTTTGTGGAAACACCACGTCAATTTATTGCTGCAAAGCTTTTGATCCGTATGCCCGGATCTTCATCAGTGCTAATAATATGAAGATCCGGGCTTAAGGATCGAAAGCTTTGCGGCAATAAATTTACGTGGTGTTTCCACAAACAAAAAGTATATTATGTGTTTTATCGCCATGCAAACCTACAAAGAACTTATTAGCTACATGGTGATAATATGTTTTTCATAATTTCATTTTGAAATTTTCGAGGGAGGGACATATTACGTGCATATACATGCAGACCTTTCGTAACGGTAACGACTCATTAAAGGACGGTTTAAGATTATAAAGCACGATTTTAGATTTTGGGAGCGTTTCTAAATTACCAATAGCCAAAAGCAGAGTTCCAATGATTGTCTCTGTCACTCGAATGAATAATATTTGAAGGGTTTGTAGATGAAAATTGTCGAGTGGAAATTTATATACATTTATTAGATCTAACCACGAACAGAAGCGAAAAATGCAACTTTAGGTCCCTGGCAAGAATCGAACCTGCGGCCCTGCGATTCCGGTGCAACGCTCTAACCAACTGAGCTACAGAGGCCAAGTTATCGAGCTCTAACCACAAGTTCATGTACAGTATATATACTAGGGTACTGCCATGCATGTATAGGTTATGGGTAAATATAAAGATTTTGTTGCATTTTTCGCAGCCGTTCCTGGTTAGGTCTAATAAATGTCTATAAATTTCCACTCGACAATTTCCATCCACAATACCCATCAAATATTATTCATTCAAGTGAGATGCCAACAAATTCTTTGTATTTACCCATAACGGCAGTACCCTAGTATAATATATGAACTTGTGGTTTGTGCTCGACAGCTTGGCCTCTGTAGCTCAGTTGGTTAGAGCGCTGCACGGAATCGCAGGGTCGCAGGTTCAATTCCTGCCAGGGACCTAAAGTTGCATTTTTCGCTTCTGTTGCTGGTTAGGTCTAATAAGTGTATATAAATTTCCACTCGACAATTTCCATCTAGCGAGCGAGCGCAGCGAGCGAGGGACAATTGTGATATCGTCCCGAGAGCGATAAAACTGATATCACCGAATCCCGAGTACGATAACCTATTTATTATATACTTGTACCTTTATCAGGGTTTGACACCCAAAAGTAAACAGTTTTGAAAAAATAGGATCATTTTAGAATTCAAAACAATTCATCATTTACTGAACAAATATGATTTTAGAAAATAAATAGACCATTCAAATAAATAATATACAATTTAAATCTTTCATTTTGTATTATCGTTGTGTTTTCTTCGATAAACTGTCGACATCAACCAACACGAACCTCGAGTCGGCCATCTTTGTTTTGACAACGCGCGAAATTTAGCGGGACAAAAAACGATATCCGGGACAAAAAACGATATCCGGGACAAAAAACGATATCCGGGACGATATCGTTTTTATGTCCCGCTGCTTCCTACCTGATAAAGGTACAAGTATGTGATAATTACCCATACACCGTGCATTGGCTCGAAAACCGTCTCTCTGCATCTAGCTCAGTTGGTTAGAGCGCTTCACCGGAATCACAGGGCCGCAGCTTCGATTCCTGCCAGCGGGCTGATAGTGTCATTTTTCGCAACAGCTCCTGGTTAGGTGCAATAAATGTATCAAAATTTCACTCGAAATTTCCTTTCAACAGTTAGTTGTATCGAGTGGGATGCCTCAAATCCTAATCTTTGTATGAGATGTATCACGACTCAATAGACCTTTATTATAGTGACGTCAAACGTGGAAAAACACTTGTCCCAAGGGATAAT